AAATGAACCGCAGGGAAGAATGCCTCATTATCACGCGTGAGATAGGGCAGTATATAAAACTGCTTTTCTGATGTGAGGGGTACATTATACTTCCACGTGATTTCTGTGTGGTTGGTCTCTACGTGACATACTTAGTGGAAACCTCATAGAAAGCGGTGAGTGTGCAAAGCTGTGTTCAAAGTGTTTGAAATCTTGGTTTGGAGTTTCTTTGTTTGGTTATGGAGGCGTCTGGCCGAGTGAGTTGCTATCAACTTGACCTTTCCAGGCTCTGAAGAAGGCGAAATCCGCCGAAACGTCAGCTTAATCGTGAACAAAGAATAGTAACACCTCGCGTTTGCTCAACAAAAATACGAAGAAATTAATTGTTAAAGCGAAGCGATATATGGTAAACATACTCGTTCATTGATAAGCGCACACGTGTTGATAAACGACTTTATTCGATTAAAGTTTAGAAATCTTCGTCTTCCTCAGAGCCGATGATCCGTGCCTACTGTCGTTCGTTTTACCGATGTTATGTCTCTTCAGTGGAGCATCGCTAAGCCGAATAAGGTTGTTTAATAACCACGTGTACGCTTATAAATGAAAGAATATATGTTGATTAGTCATACTGAGGTTGAAGGAAAGTCAGTTTTTTAACATTGTTGTGCTCCATGCTAGCTGATAATGATACCGACTTCTTATAATCTGATGATACCGAACTTTTTTTAATCACAAAATTCTCTGGATTATCTGCGGCAAATCTTCAGTGTTAACACCTTTTCTCCAACACTTACATTTTATGCAAATCGTTCGCTTGTTGTGGCGATACCAGTAATTCACATTTTGCGACATTCAATGTTTTTCATCAATAAGCAGACACGAGGTTGTTAATATAGAATTTATTAGAACACAATTGCTGACGTTTCGGCGGTTTCGCCTTCTTCAGAGCCTGGAAAGGTCAAATTGAGATGTGATCTACTCAGCCAAACACTTTCACAACCCTAGCAGATAAAACTTGACAATTCGATTTGCATTCGCATAAGAAACAGGCTTCATTCAAACACCTACCGTTTATTTGTTGTAAGTATTTAAGTTAGTTGGTGGATAGCCGCCGCACAGAGTAATACATGGTCGATAACTGTGTCCAATTTTGAATGCCAAAAATTCAAAAATGAACCGCAAGGAGGAGTGTCTTGTCATCACGCGTGACCTGGCGCCATACCTCAGGCTGATCCAATGACCTGACATGGACACAGTTATCGACCATGTATTACTCTGTGCGGCGGCTATCCACCAGCTAACTTAAATACTTACAACAAATAAACGGTAGGTGTTTGAATGAAGCTGTTTCTTATGCGAATGCAAATCGAATTGTCAAGTTTTATCTGCTAGGGTTGTGAAAGTGTTTGGCTGAGTAGATCACATCTCAATTTGACCTTTCCAGGCTCTGAAGAAGGCGAAACCGCCGAAACGTCAGCAATTGTGTTCTAATAAATTCTATATTAACAACCTCGTGTCTGCTTATTGATGAAAAACATTGAATTATCAATTAATGCCGAGGTTAACAGAAAGTCGGTCATGGGAATTTTGCGACATTGTTCGCACGCAGTAGACATTTCTTTTTAGTGCATCATTTTGCCGTAGTTGCTGTGTTCTTTTGTCAGGACATAACGTCCAAAGGAAATGCCTCTTTGTTGCTTGTTTATTCCAGAGCTGAACGAAAGGAGTGAGTTGGTATTGTCACAAGATAAACCAAAGAGTTCGTCAGCTGCTCGGACATGCTAAGACCGCCCTCCTAGCGCTGATTGCTGCCTGGAATTTCCGCATCGCATTCACCACAGTCGCCGCCTCATTCATTCGCACGTTGCTCGTGCTCCCACCTCTATCCACTTTGCTTATTTCACCTACATTTTTCAACTGCTTGAGAAATGGAATGGAAAGAACGGTTAGGAAATAAATCAAAGAACTCGGATCTCTCATCCTTTTCTCATCTCATATTGTACTTCGATTCGATATCTGACACTCAGGGTCCGACCTGAGTCGTTTTCCACTTACGTGTTGCGAAAATAACATCTGCTTTCAACTTCAAGCTGGCATATCCCAACTAAAATTTTATTAGTTCAAATATAAAGAGCTATAATCTACAAGCTTTTGCCAGTAAAATGCAAGACCTCTTATTCTACCAAGATGGTTTTTTTTATGGAAGCTTCAGTCCTAAACAACTTCAAACGTCTAGTAGTAGTATTAAAGAATAGGATTTACCCATAATCAGATAGAGGAAAGTCTCTTCTATAAACCAACCACGTCTTCATCGCCTTAAGTTGTCTAGTTATAGAAAAATTACCAAGAGTATATAACGAGGCCTCAGCTTAACTGGGTTCAATGCCGATATTGGCTCCCCAGATCAATCCCGTTGACGGGTGATTGCTGATGGCAAAAAGATCGATAGAACTAGCTGAGATACATGCAACGCGAAGGACCCGGATGGTGTAGTGGTGAAGTGCGCTGCTCCCCGGTAAGGACAACAGCGGGTGTTCGTTCCCCACTGCATACACCTGTGGTCCGGAGTTTTGCAAATATCTCAGCACTTCATACGAATTACCAAGAGTTTTCAAAAACCCAGCTTAGGAACATAAACATAAGCAGTCGAGAGCGTTACGTAATTTGGTAGATGAAGAGTTTAGAATACCTAAATTAGGTAATCGCCTCCATCTACTAGCTTTCGGAAAACATGAAATTCCTATTTTTTTTAAATTTATTTTTAACATACTGTACTTATCACACTTGAAAACATATAAATTGCCCTGTGTAATCGAGTTTTTTACTTGAAGCTCAAAAATGATGATGATGGTGTAGATTGCTCGGTCTTCTAGGGTTATTCATAACTATTACGGAGCTTGATAGTGAAATTGTTAAAGATGAGAAAAGTAAAATAGAGCAATGGCTCAATGGGTCACGGTTGCTGTGTTATCTTGAGGGAGGAAATTTTCTGTTCTATCAACTTTAAGTGCATTTGGAGCACTTTGGGTGTTTTGTCGTAAAGTACTTCATTTGTCAGTTTCTAGGGTTGTCAGTTTTTATAGAACAGCTTTCTCGACTTGATTTCAGAGTTGTTTATTTCATCGCCGTAAACACCACAACATCCAATATTCATTTGATGAAAATATTGCTTGTTTTGGAAACTTGCTTTAGAAAATAAAGTCTGCAGTTTTGTGGATGGGTGTTCCTTTTTTCGAATCAACTTTCGACTAGTCTAAGATCGGATACGATTTCCGGGTCCAGAATTGGTTGTGCACTTACGCGTCGTGCAGCTATCAAAATCTGAATCCAGTTCTAGATGTCATCGTCCTTGCGTCCATCAAATCGCACGAGTCGAATGGATTTGCACAATTCCAAGCTGATAAATGACTACAAGAATAAGGTGCTTTTCTCTTTAGATGAAGCTTCCGTGGAAACCTTCCTAAACGTTGCCGTTTCTATTTTCGTAAGTTTAGGACCTCTTAAATGTGAACGTCAGCAGCGATAAATGATAACTCATCATAAGTTTTCTGTTTTCTTTATTTAAGGTGGTTGCGTTTATTTCCTATCAAATGGTGGCTTTGGTCCCAAAGTCCATCAAGAAGGACAAAAAAGATGTCGAAGTATTAAAAAAGGTGAAGAATCAAACAGATAGAGGATGTGATGAAGATTCGAATTTCAGTGATCTACATGAACACGTCTTCAACGAGAAAGAGGTATGATGTCATAGTTAACTGCCTGAAACCAACTTGTAATACTCTCTGTGCATTACATGATGAAAACGATTAGTTCGAAGGCGGATGGTAGAGAAGCGCAGCAAAGTTAGATTTGCAAGAAGCATTAATACCAGCATAGCATATGCATCGTTTCATGTGGTAATGTCTCAATCATTAGGTTTATACGAGATTTTAGGTGCATTACAGCGTTCCATTTATGCACGAGACAGAGATGTTGCGCTCATCTCAGTATTTTTACGAGCAAATGAAGCTGAGGAGAAGTGTTCGAAGCTTCAGTTCCAAATCGGTACCGATGAAGATCGTGCAAAACATTATAAAGACAGCAGGTTAACAAATGGAAACAGTATCTTAACTGCTTGCTCCATCTAGTTTGAAATGCTTGGAACGACGCCTCTGCATTTAAGGCTGTTCTCCAAGTGTATGCAACGCACAGCCGTGGAAATTCTGTGTGGTTGTAGATGACAAGAAAAAGGCAGAGATACGTGCCATAATAGAAGCTGACGCAAGGGAGAACTACGTGCGTCTGTAAGTCTCTTTTCTTCAGTTATTCTCATACAATAGATTCCTAGTGGGTGTTACACAAAATAATGGGTGCAAGCTTCAGTTTTTTCAACGATTTCTGCTTCATTTGATCACCGTACTTAGTTGCTGCTAGAATAGAAATCAGATTCCTTTTCTAGAAGAATTTTCTGAACAAGAACGGTTTGCTTAGCTAATAAGCAATTGTTCGTTTTTTTAAATTTGGCTTCTCGATGAGATGTAAAGATGAGGTTTTTTGTGCATGGGCGGTTGTTGTCAAGAATCGCTCAATAGTGTTACACTAGTTGCAAAATTAAAATGCACTTTCGTGTTTGTGGAAATAGGGCACTACAGTAGTATAAATATAAGAGTTTCCCAGAAACGGCGAAGGTTCCGAATGGGTGATGGGTGTTTCACAACTACAAGAGACGTGGAAACGACCATACCTCACCGATGCACCACTCTTGCTGGTTGTCTGCCATGAGGTACTTATCTATGTAGTTTCTTATTGCTTATTATGAAAACAGGATTCATAGTGTTGTGCACTATTTTTATTCTTATTAAAAAGTGGATGTAGAGCAGTATGAGGATAGAGTCTATTGCAAGATGGATATATCATGGAAATGTTATCGACAATCATTAGCACTGTATTTGTATGAGCACACACCTTGGTGGCCGTGTGGTCTGTCTCAACAGTGCTGCTGCCATAAGACTCTCTCTTATGCTTTTTTTGAGAACTTTTTATCCGGGATCTTTGTGGGTCGTGTCTAAATCACAATGTGACTGTTTTAAGAAAATATCGGAAGGAATTACTGGCCTATTTCTAGCACGTTTACTAAATTGGCGACCACATGAGTCATGTGTGACTCATACGTATGTATATACTCTATAAGTTGGATTGTCTGTAGTACTAGCGCTTTCTTGTTGCATTTTTTGTATTCATTCATAGTTTATCTAACGAACATTTTGTGTCAGACGTCCTTCGATGAAAGCTATCCTATATCCATTAATTAAGAAGAAATTTTTTTTATAATCAGACAAGTTAGATAAGCAATAAACTGGAGAATGTCACTTTTCATCAGATGAGTGACTGTAGAATATACATGCCTGGATAAAACTGACAAGGTGAATGTGATAGCTGGGATGTTCAGTGAATTCAAAGCACCTCGCTGCTTTCGACAAACATAGCGAACACACTACTCCAACCCCCATCAACACTTTGAATGAATGCTTTTTTCAACAACACTGTGATGAGCCTACTTTCCAAATAGAAACCCTCATAAACTAGATGTCTCTTAGGATAAAAGTTTCGATTGACATTGAAGGCAATCATGGTTAATACTCTGCCTTTTTGCCACTCAATGCTACACTGTAGTTCCAATAATTGCAATATTTTAACCAATAGATGATACTCTGAGAACATTGGCTCTTTTCACTGGGAGTTTCTTGGGATTAAGTTGACTAAATATGGAGCTTATGTAAATACCACCATAGTGCTCTATAGCAATCAAAAATATCGAAAATAAAAGCAGTGTTTTTTTGCTAACCGGTCAAAAACAACGAGGTGCCTAGATTTCAGTGAACTTCCCAATTAATCATTCACCTTTTCTTCGTCTGAGAAAGAGTGCCAACCAGTTTCCATTAATTTGCTGATCTGCTCAGTTCAAATGGATTTTGGCTTCCTAACATATAAAAATAAAGAAAAAATGCAAAATACTGAGATATTCGCAAGATTTGGACCCCAGGCCAGATCGAACCATGATCTCGCTCTCCGGGGGTTCGCGCACTACACACTCTGCCACGGATACCCTTGCTAAGCGTTTCTCTCAGCTAGTTTTCTACCTAACGCTACCATCATCAATCACTCGTCAGCAAAATTGATCTGGGCAGCACAAATCGGCAATGAACTCTGTTAAGCTGAGGTTGTAGTCGAAATCACAATGTTAACATTTTTAAAATTACAAATGGATAACATTGTAGGCAAAAATTAGTTTTATTGCAATCTTGTTCTGGTGGCCTATCTGCTTAATCTGTATCCATCTCCGTACTTCTTATCCAGGTTATTTTTTGCCGGTTTTTCACCTATTTTTTGCTGTGTTTATTTGCAGAGCAAAGATTTTCCTCAACTTAGTTGATGCTGTTCTTTCTTCAATTTTCTGTTCTTGTGATCGCTCTCTGTTCACTCATCTTTGTTGACAAAGCCACAGTTGGGTGCACCAACAATGGTAGAGATAACCGCGAGAGCAGAACTGTTCAAATATGGTGATGTTTTCACAGACTCTTCAAGGCGAACATTTCGTGGAATATCGGACAAGAAATCTCTCCGCGTTTAGTTCAGAGACGGAACTGTGCTATAAACGTCGCAATATCTTTGGCTGAGCAAAAGGAACGAGGTGTAAAGTGATATCATAGAACGTGCATGTTACGTGTTTATCGAATTGTTTACAACTGGTACCCTGATCGTATCTGCGACCGGATCCACGAATAGTTAGTCATTCTCAACTTATCGCCACTACAGTTTCTATTTATAAGTTCTAACAGTCTGTTGTGAGGAATAGACCTCAATAGCACAAGATATGCGCACTGTACATACCGTAAAAATCTAGCTACTCAGTTTTGCTGCATGTGGCTGATGACTTACCCGACAGTGCTAGTTGCTGAGCTCATTACCAGCAGAATGTATTGAAAAAGCCATCTGCGTCCGGTAGTTATTGCCCTTCTAGTTCGTTGATATCACGTCATATTGAGCTTGTTTATGACTATGCAGGAGAACAGCTGTTTGCTCACATCAATAATTCATTTGAATTGACGATTAAATGACATACAACCGAGTGGGTCATGTGACGCTGGCATGCGAGATCCATCGTCGATGTAAAACGAGATTATTTCTGATTCTTCATTTTCTTTCAGTCAAACGGACATTTCGCCGTGCTTCAGGTGTGCTTGTTTCGGTCGGGAAGTCAACACAATGAGAACACAGAGGAAGTGCAACGTAAAAGAAAAGAGTGGAACGCAAAGTTCAATGAATTGTTTAAGGGTTAAAAAAAGATAAAAATTTAACCAAGTCTGACACTGATGCTAGGGTCCACCCTGCCGTGACAACTTTAAACAATTCTGACAGAGGAACGGCTTTAACGAACTCTAGAGAATGGCGCAACCATGTTTTGTTTCCCTTGATGGTACAGGGTAGGAGTCGCCAACTATTGCGCTCTTCATCGGGGTACTAAAATAAATTTGAGGCTGACTAAATTCCATGCCATGCTATGTAACAACAGGAGCTTTGCTAGAGGAAATCTGGAGAGATTTAAAAATCCAGTTTCGTAAGGGGGTTTTTGAAACTTAGCTCTTTCAGTCTTGCTATGAATTAGCTTTTTCGGTGACAGAATAAAGTGAAACTATGTAAAGCTGTCCATAGCTTCTTTAACCAAAGGTTTTTTAAAAGAGTGAAGAACAAGTTTGGTGCCAGAATAAGTCTTCCTCTGTATTCCTTCATTGCTTTAACAACTATTTTAGTTTTTGCTTTCTTGATAACTTTAGCTAAACAGAGAAAAGCTGCACAAGCAAAAAGACTTCCGAAATTCGACATGCCATTTCGTCGGTGAAAAGTCGAACAGCACCAGGTCCGGACAGGATAAGACCACAACACCTGAAGAACCTTCCGCCAGTCTTCGTAAACACACTGGCTGGGTTCTTCACACGTTACCTGTCTGAATGTAAGGTCTCTCAGTGGAAGACCAGCAAGACCGTGTTATTGTTCAAGAAGAGTGACCTACACGATATCGGCAACTATCGCTCAATCTGTTTGCTGTCTGTCGTCTACAAACTTTTCACTCGAGTCATCCTAAACAGGATTGACAGAACACTGGACGAAGGACACCCATGTCAGCAGGCAGTGTTTGGAAAAGGATTGAGTACGATGGACCACATTCACACGGTAACACGGCTCATTGAAGTATCGCGAGAGTACAAAAGACCGCTCTGTCTCCCTTTCATTGATTTACAGAAGGCCTTTGATTCAGTTGAGATAGAAGCAGTCTTGGAAGCCCTTGATAGTCAAGGAGTCCTTACTGAATACATAAAGAATCTTCTTGAGCTGTACAAAAATTTCACAACCAAAATATCACCATTCTAGAACGATATTAACATTGACGTCAAAACAGGAGTTAGGGAAGGCGATACCATCTCGCCAAAATTATTTACCGCCACCTTCCAGAACGTTACGCGAATATTGAAATGCGATAATATGGTAGTGAAAATCGATGGTCGGCGGTTACATCATCTTCGCTTTGCTGTTGACATCGTCATTATTACACCAAACATTAGCCAAGCGGAGCGTATGCTTGCCGACTTTGATAAAACCTATGGAAAGATTGGTCTTCGACTAAATCTCACAAAAACGATGTTCATGAAGAACGGATTGGTTTCGCATACCCCATTCACGCTCAACGGAACGAATATCTCCGAATGCTGTAGTTATGTCTGTCTATGTCGGGAAATCCATACGATGAACAACTTAGCTACAGAGCTGAGCAGAAGGAAACGAGCGGCTTGGGGACCTTTCAAGAGCATCGAGGTAGCAGTGAAGAGGACAAAGAACACCCAGCTCCGTGCTTACTTTTGCGATTCAACGGTACTTCCTGCCTTAACGTATGCGTCAGAAGCCTGGTCGCTGCGTAAGCAGGATGAAAGGTCACTCAGCGTTAATGAACGCGCAGTTGAAAGAACCATGCTAGGAGTATCCCGTTTCACACAGGTAAAGGATGGGATCCGAAGCTCCGACTAACGTCAACGATCAGAAATCAAAGATGCGGTTCTGTACGCCAAGCAGTCGAAGATAAGGTGGGCCGGATACGTAATGCGAATGAACAACAACCGATGGTCAAGAGCCATTAGTGACTGGATTCCTCTGGATGTCAAACGTGTTGCAGGAAGACCACCGACCCTATGGTCAGAGTTCTTCACGAAGAGCCTGAAAGAAAGATCTGGTGCTCAACGAGTCCATAGAGCGAGCAGAACCCATTGGGCTACTCTTGCATGCGACAGGGAAAAATGAAGGGTTTACTGGGGCCCGCTCGAGTCAATCGATAATCAACGGGAGTTCAGTTGACAGGTGAAACGAATCAAAGTTTTATTACATATTTTACTGCGTTTTTACGTTTTACTTTCATTTTGCAAGTAGTTGTTAGTGTATCTACCAGATCATCTGTCTTGGTGTTTATTTTCAATTAACTCAAGTGATGCTATTTTATATCTTTACTTACGTACAAGCTGACGTTTCGATGGATCTCGCCTTCCTCAGAGCCTTGAAAGGTCAAGTTGACTACAATCTACACGGACAAACACCTCCATAACCAAACAGAGAAAATGCTAAGCCAAAATTTCAATCACGTTGAACACAGAGTTTTTGCACACTCACCGCTTTCTATGAGTCCACTTCCACCGCTTCCACTAAATATGTTACGTGGAGACCAACCGCACAGAGTTAACGCGGGAATCGCATTGTGCCCATCTCATCAAAATA